TAGGATGTCAGTGAAAGTTCAAAATGTTCTCCATTGAACGGAACGAGCTGCACATGAGCTATATATCACCTGCGTAATGGGGTATATTCGGTCCATAAAAAAACTTGTCAAATAGTTTTTCTTGGGTAACTGGTGTCGAGTTGCTTGGGTGAATTTATTTGAACAGGGTGGCGACATTAAAACAAAGTAACCCGCTTATTAATTAAAATAGGTAAATTCTTATTAGTCATTGTCTTGGGGCTGACTCTCCTTGTCAGGCTTGAACTTATTTTCTATTTTTTTTTATTTTCAACGGCGATATAGGATCAAATGGTCTCCACTTTGTTCGACTATTATCTTTTGCTATTGATCGTCTGACGTCTACAGTTTTGTGATTTTCGACGTACAAACCACTTTCTGATTCTTTCAAACTGTGAATGGAATCCTTCCAAAACGAACAAGCTTGCTTTACTTGATTATTTTGGTATTTATTATTCAATATTTTTTTCACTTTTTTCGATCACATGCTTAGGTTTCTGCAGTATGCATTTGAAGAAGCGTCCTAGGCGAGTCCCTCTGTTGCATGGCAGCCGGCATTCTGAAACGGTAAGGGCGAGAGGGCCTAAACAATTCATTCTCTTTCACGCTGTCCAATAGCGTGCAGAGCTCTCATCCTTCGTCTCTGGTCTATCTTCCGCGCCACAATGTCTCGATTCTTCGAATACCCGTCCAGTCCTAGATCCTCGTTTCGGCTTTTTAGCTGGTTTTCTGTACACTTAATTTAGCATCTTGCAAGTCGCATAAGAATCCCAATGCCCACAAATTGCAATCGCGGAATTTTTCAGGGCTCTATAGTGCTAGCCCCTTTGAGCGTTCTGCGTTCATGGTCAAAAAATCGTTGCTAGTTTTACAGGACTGTACACCCCATATCGCGAGACATGGAGGGCGTGGCTGCATACTTTCGGTTTGAACGTGACTTAAGATGCGAGAATCGTTATCGTATTGCTTCAAGATGACACCTGGTCCGACTACGAATATCGCATAAAAACTCATCTTGCGCCATGTTCAAACGAAACACGCAGCCACGCCCTCTCCAGTTCCAGGATATGGAGTGTAGGTAGAGTCATAGCGATGAATAAAATTCAGCGTCTAACACCTGTCTCTCTCTGCCTACCTCCAGCTTCCAGAGAAAAGCTGTCGACCGAGGAGGTTGAGAAACTTCAGATTAATGCCATGCCAGCATTTATCAGTGGACCATATAAGGCCCCTCCCAGTGTCATTTAAAAACGATTAATTCTTGAAGGTTCCACGATGAACCAAGCCATGCCCTCTTCGTAAACGTATTTAACGGTTTCCTTGCCCACCATAACTTTTCGTAAACGTTCTTAACGGTTTCCTTTCAGTGCGTAACATTTGCAGTTCCATCGCTCTCATTCACATAACACTGCCCACATCACATCGGTGGACGGGAAGAACTTGCATTCTGCGGTTCGCAATTTTATCTTCGTTTTCAGTGAAATGAAAGCGACTGACATTGCCCGATAAGCGATGAATGCGTTTTCATCGCCCCACCGTTTCTTAGCGCATATATTTTTCAAATTGCTTCTTATGATTAGACTGCTTATCGTCTGCTGTGATCGCAATTCAATTCAATTTCTTTACTGCCATGGAGCCAAAGGGGTGGGGATGGAGGAAAATTAGAGAGTACCCCTGAAACCGTCAAACGCTATCGTTAAGCTTCACTTCTTATTTGTCCTACAAGTTCAGAATTCATTAGTTCTCCTCTGAGCAATAATCAATCAGTTCAGTCAGTATTGATTGATGTACCTGCTTCCAGGCCTTTGTGCAAAAAATAATCTCAATTTGGTCGGTACCGATCGATAATCTGTGCCTCATATGGGGTCCTGTCCTTTTTGACCGCACCTGCTTAATGATGTGTCTAATTCCCGCTTCCAGCGTTCTGCGTGATAACCAATGAGTTCAATCGAACGCATCGGCTGCCGTTGTCGTAATCACTAAATTAGTATTTCTGCCCTATCAGATCCATCTCCTATTAGCTTGAATTCTATAGGAAGCAGTAGCAGGGTACAGCATCTTGTGTGAAATAGCGGTCTCCATTCCCCTCCACATTCCCTCTTCTGGTGGTTCTGCGACAGGGCGAACTAGGAGGGTATGTAGCGCACATGAAAACGCCAATATTCAACCGGAAAAGAACTCAGCGCAGCTTGTTATTTTTGTCAAGACCAGAAGGCCCCCCCCGAACTACACTCTCCTCGCCCCCCCCCTCTTACCAGATGAGGTTTGGGAAGAAGCCTTCTAGGACCGCAAGAATGGTTTCTCTCACGGTACTGGGTAGTATTCCGATGATATTTGACAGGGAGGAGGCCTTGGTGGCTCACATCACAAAATAGGATTGTCGGGCAAGTGGAGATGACGGATTTTTCTGCTTGAAGTATTGGCAGGAGGAAGGGCTCCGGAACGAGCTTCTTTCCTCATATCCATACTCGGAGAAGCCATTTTTTGAAAGGGTTTACAGTTCGGCTTGGTTGGGGCACAGCGGTACTTGGTGAGGCTGCCATGGAAACATTAACGCAAAATGCACTCTCTCCAAGCTTTACCGAGTGTTGTAGCGACTTCACAGCAGTTCACTTAGATGTAACTCAGCTAACTATTCAAGAGGAGCCAGCGGAACATGTCCAAAATGCTCCTTCAAGTCAATACAAAGCGCTAATAGAGTTTCAGCCTTATGGGTGATCGAAGCAGATTGTTGTGCTTCGAGATTATCAGATACCACGCTAGCGGACCTTCGTCTCGCCTTTTCAGTACTACTAACTTCTTGAAATCATCCCTCTTAGTACTACTTACTTCTGATGCTCTTCTACTTATTCCTAGAAAGGGTGTATCTCATCATTTCGCACTCGTTTTAATGCCCTCAGCCTTAACCTTCTAAAGGCCCCAGTTCGCACCGAGCAACCATCCGCCAAGGCCGGCTAGGCAGTCCAATTACTCCTGGCAAATACGAATTCACGCGACCCTGGGCAGGCGCTGCTACAGCGGCGTTTTTAGCGCGCAGGAAGGTGGCCTTATAGGGGCAATTATAAGCCGCACCTCACGTCAACGCCCCGGGCCGCACGCGCCCGCCCACAAAATGGACGATCCGTTTCCTGACGCTCGTATTCAATTATTTGGCCTATAGAAATTATGAAGCAGAAGGGTTTGGTTACGAAGCGGCGTGATGGCTGCCGATGCATACATCACATATGCAGCAGAATTTATAAGGTACGTCGGGTGATTGTAAGGATGCCTACGGGAACTCGTCCGAAATCGATTTACATCACTGGAGAACGGATCCTTTTTTCGCCTGGATGTTAGACTGTTCGCCCATTTCTACCACAATATAACAGCGACCCTACTAGGCATTTTAGGATAAGTAGGAAACGACGTGCACATGCCTGTAGGAACAGTTATGGTTTAGATTGCAGTCATATTATATTGTAAAGCTCTGCATTCTAGGCCTGACTGATTTGTTTATCCTTCGTCTACTAGTGACTAGTCATAAGTAAACAATCAGTAATACCATTTTCAGGAGATGGCAATCGCTGAGGATAATGCACTCAGTGGTTTACATCAATTTCTCGCTGCTACTCAGGTTGGTAGTGAGTGACCTTCTGGATGACCTCCATATGTATCGTTATATAATTCCAGCCATTGCAATCATTGCAACGATCACCGGAAAAGATGCCAACTATGAATGACTTAATGAGTACCGTACTCCAACAAATACCTCCGTTTAATTACCCGGTAGGTTTGATTTCAAAAAACTGCTCATTGTAGATGACTTGTTAGCATAGAATAGATGAATGAAGATGAATTGTTAGCGACGGAGGAAATTTAGGCTAGCATACAGAAAGAGAAAAGGTGCTCATGATTATCCAAATGTAGAAAAGGGCGAAATATCAGCTTGAAGCATTAGGCCAACTGTTTCGCTAGGCAGTGAGCATCTCATTAATTGCCAGTTAGTTTTTGCCAGTTCAATGTATGATCAATCCGTCTGACTTAATGAAAGCATCTTAAGAGTGGTCGCTCTAAGGCTGGGGAATTACAGTCCTCGTCTTGCGACCGGCTGGCGGCGTGTCAGCCATAATGAGAGTGTGCACAACTGTTGAAGACGTATTCAGTCCTTTTTGTTTGGATTGGTATCGCGAGCAAAAGTGGAGAATACGAAAGTAAATACGAAGGATATAATACTGGTAACGTCAACTTGCCCGCGTTCAGAGAGCTGGTGAGGAAGACTTCGCACCGGCGCAAAACGGAGCCGCACTGACGTCGGCCCGACCGGTCGCGCAATGATGAGGGACTGTATAAGTGTGAAACTACTTTGTTCCCAAGAAGTTTAGACTCTCTCCGCAATGGGCCCCAATGCCACCGTATTTGAGTACGATAATGAAGCCCACAAGGCCAAATCTGAGTGGTGTAATGACAATCAGCCGTTACTGGTGTCCGCTTTGTATAACTGCTCCATTACTAGTATGGAAATAAAATAGTGTTGTAGACGCTGTGGATCGACTGTGAGGTTTAATGTACCATGATCCAATTTTGTGAAGAGGAATGCCTCTGATGAAGGGGCGTGCACTAAATTCATTTTGGGCGAACGCGCAAGATATCTCATGTAAGCCCTCAACACAATAGCCACACAAGATTGCGGTTTAGACGCCTGTGGACGCAAAACCTGCGGGATCGTCGGACAGTGACACGCCTAGGAATCAGAGCCCGAACAGTGATGGCGCCACTGAAACACAACCGTCGCTCAGTGGAAAGGAGCCGAGGTATCACCCTGTTTATATTATGCTGATTCAACTGTAGTTTTCTGAGTCGTCCCAAGAAAGTTTTACTTGAGCGATTCAGGCCATATCGTCAAGAACCATGGCACGAGTGCTTCACCACCGTCAATAAAAAAGAATTCGATGCACTCATTTATTCCTTGTACGTGATGGCAAGAGACGACAAAAAGCTTGACGGTTATGAATAGTAAGTCTTTGATCTGAAGTTGAAGGGTTATCGAGTGAAGAGAGAGGGAGTCAACGTGATAGGAAAGTCTGAACAACAGGGCATAGCTAAGTGATAACAGTTCGCCCTCACATAAGAGCATTATTCCTGAATCCGTTGCGTTGATCGGGACATCTTATCCTTACCCTTACAGTCATTATCCCTGCAAACGGAAGGGCGTCGGAAGGAGCGTGGACTGTAGCGCAGCCAGGGCAGCCGTTTCCTCCGATGGCACAGGGTACAGGATGTCATAGTACAGACTGAGGATGGCATCATTGGTGGGAAGGCCTTCCTGGCTGCGCTCCACTCCATGAAGACCCATTCTCCTTTCACACATCTCGAGGGATGATGACTACGTAAAGGCAGTGAGCACGATGGCCGGGGGGTCGCCCGGGCGGATCGCGCATTAGGGCTGCAGGATGTAATCGCGTGGTCATTAACGCCCTCTCGGCGCTTCCTTCTCACCCAATAAGATTAACAGCGGGCAACGCCACTCCCTCCCCGCCCCCGAACCGTCGTGCTCACTGAATTACTGTGGCTGACGTAGTACACGATGAAAATACTCAAGTACCTATAAGGGCGCTTTTTCTACATGGTTCCTAGGCACTGTAGTCAGCCAGGCCATTCACCAGCAGAAGACGGAATGTTAAACACGTAAAAGGCGCGCCGAAAGACATTTATTGTGGCAAACAGACTCAAAAAAATCTAAATATTCTGCACAAAAATTTTTTTATTGTGTTATAAGTCCTTCTCGGATATTTGGTGCCTAGGCACCTTCTTCAGACGATCTGAAATAGCTATACGTTATCACACTTGTATTCTCAGATCGCTGAAGGAAGGTTGTGCTGGCACGGCGAAATGATCTGAAGAAGGGTTATATAACAATAAATTTTTTGCGAAAACTTTTAGGATTTCTTGAATCTTTGAGTCTCTTGCATGAAAATCTTTTGCGCCTCTTTATCTGGCATTTGATCATTCAGCATTGCAGTGAGGCTCTTGACAGCACAATTTTGAGAGTCAGAAGACTGTTTTCTGGGAGTCTGTGGGTCTTACTTATGGTCGGTGTGAACGCTATTAAATTCGCTACGACCAGTCAGCTCGTTCGCAAATGATGCATTTCGCAATGCATATATAAGTGGCCAGTGCCCTTACATCAGGCAGGACCTGTGTTGCGTGACTTCAAAACAGGTAGAGCATCGGGATGGGAAATTGACAGACGTCAAGACAAACTACAACCTACCCAAAGCTTTTTGCTTTCCGCCTATGAGGCGCCCCCTCCCCACCCAAGTTCTCATCTCCGAAACTCTGGCCGTGCGACCAGGGGGGAGGGAAAAGATTCAGCCAAGTGTTGTGTCAGTACCTTTGAAACCTCTCCATCGACAGCATAGCCCTCCCTATCTAAATGACCGAGTAGGACTCCCTTGATAGGATTCCCTCAGCGATGCTTTGCTCTGACTCGGAAGGTACGGCCTATACTCCTGTGCACTTAAGATTTGTGACTGTCCACGCCACTGTGACGAAGGGTCACTTCAAGTTGTCGCATGGAGAGATTTTTGGTTTCAGTTTTGTGAACCTGTAGCCCTTTTCTGGTCAGTTTTTCTTGGGCTATAGTAGCCTTGTGTAATCGAATTTCGTTTACGAGTGCATATAATCGCTACAAAGATAAGTGTGTTTATCGGAGTCGAGCTGAGAGGCATGACGAGTTCATCAATTGTGGGGAGCGAGAGCTCATTAATCATGCATGGAAGCCAGGCGAACACACGGAACTCACTGCATGGATTACCAAGTATTATTTTTACCTTTTTCACAACTTTTGCGATCAAATTTGCATTGATGTTTTTCAGAACTCTGAGGGAAATCGTCGACCGTTCATTCTACGAAGACTGGAATAATGCAGTTCGACAGGAGAAACTTGAAGAGGAGGTAGGCACTACCTAGGGTGCGTTCGTACTTCGCGTCAGCGATTTGAGCGTAGGGCAGAGTAAGGCCAGCTGGATCAACACCTATTATTTCCTAGCCGCTCAAAACGGACGCAAAGTCTGAACATACTCAAGTCATACTCTTGTATCGCTTCAAAGAAAAAAGCTGATCAGTGAAGTATCCTCATCTAAGATAATTCCTGCAGGTTCGTCGCCTGGGTCTGCCACATAATCCACGTCTCGGTAGGCAGGTTGACAATCGGATTGCCTATCTGCGCAGGGTGAAGAATCTCAACGAAATGAAGAAAATCCAAGATCAGGTAAGAATCATGTTGAGAACTGTTAGAGTAAAGGTAGAATAGTTTGTAAATGAAAAGTGAAAGAACCAATCGTACAAGCACCCTCTAATGCCCTCCTACATGAATGTGACGCGATGCTCGGCGCTAAAGGTGCGGTGTAGGGGCATGCACTACTTTTTTGCCGCGTTTTCGTGGAAAGGCGTGGCTCCTTTTGTTGGGCGACGCTTCTCTAGATTTCAGAACCCTTATGCCTTCTAATAGTGGGACTGGCTATCTGGCTTACTAAGGAAATTGCTTTCACCCAGGGGAGATACTTGAAAACATAGCGTAGTGCCCTTGCGTACCCCTGGTGGCATTCTTGGGGGCTTTATGGTCGGCTAAATAGTTGAGTACTATTGGCTAGCGCGAAGAGTCGAGACTTGAGCCCAGATACACGTAACCCAAAACAGGCAGCGAAAGTCGTCCTTGAAAGGCCAATGTTTCATTTCGGAGCAGTGCGCGCGTTGACTAGGCGGAGCGTCGTTTGGAGTATCATCAGCAGCCCATCTGTCCCAGAGGGTGGGGTTTGGCCCAGCGGCTTCCCACCAATGCCGCCTTCCTGCTCTCCCGTCTCCTACCCAACGCACCCACTGCTTTCAACTCCCACAAGGAGCTGCACAAAGCCACGGCCCACGCGGTATAACGTTGCCCATTTCAGGTGACGCCAATGCCCAATGGAGATCTTGCAAGTGAAGGCGAGCCTAAAACTAATGGTGTATCGGACGTCACAGCACAGGCTGCAATTCCGGCTTTGGAAAACCCTACCGATTTACTGCAAATGCTGATGCAGGTACCGAATTTCTTTCTGATTACAACAACTTATCATAAATCGGTGAAGAAATTCACATAGCGACATTTCATGTGACGTGCACGTGCGCGCCATTCGCACCGAGACATGGCTGACTCAATGTAGAAGTGCTTCATTATGTCAAGTCAAACAACTAGGAAATACTAGCTAGTTTGTTGCGTGGCCTGAGTGCACATTCCAGCCGACACTATCTTCCCTTCTCTCGCATTGCGACACGTCACAACTAGGTTCAGACTTTGCGATGACGCGCGTCGATGCGCTACTGTAGCAGTAGTGCTCCAGCATCATAGACGGAAATGGAGCCATGGACGGTAATCGATCGGGTTTGAGAAAGTTTGGGAGGATAGGGGGCACACGATGCTTGATCACACAGTCCGGTACCCTCCCGTTCTCCCATACTCTCTCAGGCAGAAGCGACCCGCGTCGATCGATACTAGACCCTGTGGTAGAGAAACGGGTACCTTCCAATTCCATATTACCTCTCAGGCAATAGCGACCTGTGCCAATCGATACCCGTCTATGGCTACGTTCCCGTCTAAGTCATTGGAGTGCTGTTACAATGGCAGCGCGTTACATCGGCGCGCGTCGTCGCGAAGTCTGAACGCTGCCTTATCAATAAGAAGAGAAATGCTATAGCTAATGGAATTACGCTAAATCACGCTGTCAGTTATGTTCTTTAGAACGGCCGATTCCCGGAGCTCAATACCGACACTCAAGCTCAACTGATGGCGCTCATGATGAGTGGAGCTGCTGCTCCGATGAGGATGGAAGACGGTAGTGGCAGGCAGGATATGCTGCCCAACCCGACAGCCATTCTTCCATCCATCCTCGCTAATCCGTTCCTCCACGCCGCATCCTCAATGCCCAACCTGCTGTCACTACCGATCGATAATTCGATCGATAACACTCCCACTATCCATCAGAACGCTGAATCGGGTGATATGGAGGAAGACGACGATTGCAGTACAGAGGATGGCCACCTGCATATCGATGCAGATCACTAGTTACTTTTAAGAACTCATATGGTTACGTGTGAATTGCATATCTGATCTTGGTCTCTTGGCGAAACGTTCTTAACGACATGATTTCCTTTCTTTTTCTAGATGAGTAGGATTTCAATTGTTTTGTTTATGTATATATGTATTTTGTAAGGGTCACTGTATTCACTCATACCGTATCCTCCTCATTCGTAATTCTCATAGCCTTATCACTACGGGACCGCTACTCAAGGCCTTTTTCGCTCGTCTTTATTCACTGCTGCCGAAGTCGATAGTTGTCTAGTTGAACGAATCGATGTTATATTCGCTGCAGAATTACTCGCAGTCCACTTATCCAATGAAAATGTTTCTGTATTCTGTTTACTTGCGGAACAATATCACGTTGATATCTAGTTGTCGCAATCAGTCGAGGCGATGTAAGCCCGCCCCCGCTGCTCTTTTCTACCAATAGAAAAGAGCGTGCGGTGATTTAGGAAGACCGCAATCGTTGGTGGAAATAGCGCGAATGGGCATAATCCACTTTTTTGCAGTATCTATAGTGCTCTGGAAACGAGCTACAATTTCTTGAGATGAGCACCTCATGCTTGACGGCACACCCCGCCCACTGTGGGCGGGTCTCAACACCCCAGAAATGCTCAGATCTCTCCACGTGTCTGTTTTTTTCCATGGCTTCTTGTCCACG